GGAGCTGGGCGGGGGGGGCTGGGGGGGCAGAACCGACCCCGCCGGGGTAGGAGGGCGAGGCCCCGCCACGTCTCCTGGAGGAAGCACTGTGCACTGACTGGCCACGTAACATCACATCGACTGGAGACACTTAAAGCATTGCCTGCGCCCTGAAACACAGCGCTGTGCAGGCACGGTGGTCACGGGTGGGTCTTCCTTTCGAGTAAAATAAATGACTTTTCACTTAGGAATTAAGTACTTCATTCTTCACACAGCAGAGGAGAGACAACGCACTGCGGGCCACCGCGTGAAACCAGCGAGGGGGAGGCGGCAGGGCCCGGTGTGCAGAGACAGGAAGCCGCCGCCTGTGTCGGGAGACTGTGTTTGTGTCCCCGTGGTGGCAACGAGCCTGTCCCTTCTCTCCTGTCCTTGGGGACCTCTCCACTGCTCTGGGTTGTGGGGATGGCTGGGCTGGGGGCAAGCAGTGCTGGCCGGTCAGGAGACCTAACCCAGGCACAGCTGTCTACGAAATCCAGGGGACGACCTCGGTCCTTCTGTGCCCGCAAGGTTTACCTGGCCCCAGGTGAGCGATAAGGGCCCACGAGACACACTCCGCCCAAGCTAGTTATGGTTTCTGCGATTTCTCTCGTCTCTAGAACAGCCTCTCCCCCCACCGAAGTCTCCCTCCTGCTTCCACACGATGCCGTCACTGCTGGGGTCCACACCCCGGTCCTCCCTGCGGTCAGGTCCGCTTTGGTCTCGTCTCTGTAGCTGTCACAGCCCCATCACCCAACGGGGTCGATGCACCGTCAGCTCCACTTGCTCCGCGCTGGGACCCAGCTGGCCTGGGTTTCAGGGTCTCCTGCCGGGGCATCCCTTCCTCCCCTTCCCATGTCTTCAGGGCCAGGTCACCCTCTGAAGTCCTCCCGGCTGCCCTGCCACCCTCTCAGCGCCTCGGTAAGCCCTCCCGGGGACTCAGCTTCCCCCAAGTTAATATCTGTCTTTCCTTCCCTCTCATGCTAAACTCTTCAAATACCAAATCTTCCCTGGAGGTGGCCCACCCCCCGAGCTTGCCTGCGGTGAGGCCGGCCCTCTCTACCGGCCCCGGCCTAACCCCGGGGGCCGGTCCCGGGGATGCACACTGCCGCCCGTGTCCACACGGCCCTCTGGCTCCTCCATGCAGCCGTCAGGCCTGCTGTGCACAGCTCCCCCCACCAGACCTCTTCCACAGGCACCCCTGCACCTGCAGAACCTTCTGGAAATCCCCTCAGACTTCTCCTGCCTGCCCCTCCTCTTCTGTGTCCACACCTCCTGTCTGGGCTCCTGCCCACCCTCCATCTGGGTCCCCTTTCCGCCCGGGCAACTGCGCCCCGTTTCCCCGACACGGCTCAGAGGACAGAGTCCGGCGGCCCCACCCTCCTCAGGTCTCCAGGCTGGCCCGGCCGCCTGCTGGGATAACACACAGAGATCCCGGGTTAAACTGGAGACACTGGAGCCCTCACTACCCCATTAGATGTGGCCCTGCTTCTGCAGTCTGCCCTCGGCTGTCGGTTTACCATCCTGACCATCTACCCAGGGAGACTCCTTGGTGTCTTCCTGGCCTCCCTCCCTGTCTCATCCTCACGTCCTGTCAGCCTGTCTCGGAAGGTTCCTCGAGTCTGTCCCAGACTTTCCATCCCACTGCCTACTCCCCGCCCCCACCCCACCCCCTGGTCTCCTGTGCAGACTATCCGCACAGCTTTCAGAAAGCGCAGTGGGGGCTTGCTCTCTCCCACGGACCAGCTCAGCCGCTGCCCCAGGGATGCCCGCGGGCCCCTCCGGGGCGGTCCTGCCTGAAGGCCCCGGCACGCACTGGCCCTCGGTCACACGCGGTCACTGTCTTGTGCGTGTGCCCCCTTTCTCAGGTGGGCGGGGGGTTCTTGGGGGACCAGGGCTGGTCTCATCAGCAGTGTGTCCTCTGTGTCTCCGACACCGTGTGTTGCAAACTGGGGTGGAGGCTACTTGGCTGAATTTGGACAGAAATGACTGGGGGAAGCCAGCCTAAACAAGCTAAAAAAACAAAAAGGAGAAAAGGACAGACGTGCCTTCTACGGAGCCCTTTAAGTTTTTGCACACTTTTATGGTGCTATAAAAAATCCCATGAGTCAGTCTTTAGAAATGACTTTTAGAGATACTCTGGAAGGCACCTGCAGGACTAGGGGCAGAGCTGAATGCCCACGTTACGTGGGTGAAGGTGAGGCCCGGCATGACCTGACCCCGGGGTCTGTGTGAGCAGGTACCAGGAGCAGCGTGTTGGGGCACAGGCCGGGTTTCACTGTGTTTAGACTTTTCTGGAGAAAACACGGAGTGAGGAGGGCGCTCAGCCATGGGAGGGAGCTGCTAGCCTACTCCGATGCCTCAAAGGAAAACTGCATAAAGCTCTTCCTTCTTAAACGTTAGTGCCTGGTCCTCAGGCCTTGCTCGGTAGATGAGGACCACGAAGTGCAGAGCGTGCACCTGCCCAGCCTCACACAGCTCGTTAGCACTGACCCGGAACGTCACACGCAGGCCTCCGCGGAGACAGGCGGGCGTGCAAGTGGGACAGCGCGGGCTTCGGGCTCAGCTCTGCTCTCTGCTCAGCGAGGGAGCGCCTGCCACGGGTTCACAAAGCACTGCGCACCCCGGGGAAGAGGAGGCTGAGAGTCTGGGCTTCAGATTGCTCATCTGAAAACGGGGCCGGTACCACCCCGCAGGGTCCGCGGGGGCTCGGTGAGGCCGTGCTTGCCGGGTGGGGGCCGGGCGCCCGGCAGAGGGTGCGCTCGGGACGGAAGCGGCTGCAGGGGAAGCGTGCTGCCTCCTGCTCATGTAACACACGGGCTCAGCCGGGCTCCCCGGGCCTGGCACTCACAGCCCGGCCAGCTCCCACCCGCAGGACCGTAGCAAGAAGCACAGGGTTCCGGGAGGCCCTCGAAGACCTGGAGCCACGATCGCTTCCACTGAGGTCTCACCTGAAAACACTCTTTCAGCCAGATGGCTTTCTAAGCCTCGACTACCACTGTGCACTGCTCTCTGTTCACGGGATCCATCAGGGTGGCCTTCCAGGTGGGACCACCCTCAGAAGGTGGCCGTGGTCACACCTCCTGTCGAACTCTGACTTTTTTCCCCACTAGAAACTGCGCCCCACAGAGCGAGGAGCACCCTTCACGGACCCCAGACTCAGAATCACGATCTTGCACTCAGGTCGTCATTTCTGAAAATGGACCTTTTTTCTGAGCCGTCAACTCTAGCTGGACTGGAACAGTGGGCGTGTGTTACGGGCTGAGGGAAAGGTGAGGACGAATGTGTGCGTTGTTTCAGTTCTCAGAGAAATGTAGCTTTTTCATAAAGGTCATGCATAGTCTTAAAACCTAACTAAAATGAAGTGTAAGGTCAAAACCTACCCAATTTAGACCTCCTCATTTAGGATTTTGTTGTGTAGAAATGTTGAGACGACCATGACATGAAAAAGGGTCTATGAGGAAAATGCAGTCGAACTTAAAAAGTGGTTCACGGAGACAGAGGAGGTCGGGTAACTGGGCAAAGGAGGCCTCGAGGCCCCTTCTCCCAGGGGCTCCCAGCAGTTTAGCGCTGGATGGATGTCTTTGCAACTGTCTAAGTTCCGTCTGCAACTTGAGGGGAGGGAAGGGGAGAAGTGATTTGTGTGGGTCACAGAGGAGGGAGCAATGAAATAAGGACCGGAGGTCAGGCCTGCTCGGGCCAGCACCACGGGGGGCTGGGGTCCCGGGGCCGATCTGTGGGGAGAGGCCCAGGAAGCACCGCGGGCTGGGGTGGGGCGGGTGGGGACTGGTCCTGACCAGGCTGCCGTCGGCACAAGGAGGAGCTCCCTGAGGCGGGCTGCCCTGAGCCGGAGATGGAGGTGACGAGGCGCGGAGGACGACAGGACAGGGCGCAGGCGTGTGGGCCCCGGGGCGCTGGGGCCCACAGACTTACTTTCCGGAGGGACCCTATCTTTGTGCGGGCATCCGGACAAACTGCGGTGATGCGGATACAGCCCGGTTACGTGGCCGGTTCCATCGCACCCTGGGGTGGGGCACTTGCTCTCTTTCTTTTCTGCTCTCGAGGGATCTAAAAGCGACAACAGGTGTCAAGAGAGTGAATGTTTTACCAGCTGAAGACAAACGTGGTTATTCAACAATCCAAAGAGACTCTGATAAATAAAGACATAAAGCAGGTGTCGGGGGCGGACTGTGACGTCAGGCTTTGGCGCAGGTGGCTTGCTGATTGGGGGTGAATGTTTTACCTTAAATGGTAATCATGAATCATAACACATTTCCAACACTCTCTGCGTTCAAGCAAGAAGAGGCCGTCCCTACCAGAACTCTGACTCATTATTTTCCCGTGTGTTACATGGGGAGCTCTGCTGCTCAGAGTCAATGGAAATTGTGATGAGACAGTGGCCTTCTCAGAGAACAAAGTGTTTCCATGGCCGTTCGGCAACGGCTCCGTGAAATTCGACCAGAAAACGTAACGCCAAACACTCTGGCGCAGAATTTCTTTCTTACTGAGAGAACTGATTGTACACACTCTAAGCTGCAGAATTTTCCTGAAATGAATTGAATTCTCTTGCAGCTCTGTCTCTTAGCAAACCAATTCAGCGCTTTTCTGAAGACAAGCTGAACTCTCAGAAGGCACTGCAAGCAGATGGCCCAACGGTGGAGACCCCACCCGACAGAGGAGACGGGCAGTCAAAACTGTGCCGGAAGCTGCTGGAGCGGTCACTGGTTTTGGTCTCTTCGTCTGTCCTTGGAACCAGAGGAAGGCTCTCGCAGCTGTGCATGCAAGATGCTTCTAGCAGCCCCATGGGCCCCTGAGCACCGACGGGGAGGGGCAGCAGGCATTTGGGCAAAACTCGAATGCCAGGTGCCAGCAAGGCAATGACACGGCTAACAAAATTACTTCTGTCCCCAGACTGACCACAGGTTCAAAGATGTGCAGGAAACCAGCCCAGAAACAACTGCTAAGGCAGAGCCCAGACCAAAGGGAGAGGTGTGTGGACACCACCTCGCAGCCGCGTCAGACCCAGGCGCGCAGGCCGCCCGTCGACGGGGAGGGACTGCGGCGGGTCTGGTCTAGGGGCGCCGCCGTCGGAGTTTCTGCAGGGCCTCAGTGCTTTTTATTGCTGTCTCACTGCTCAGGCTAATTACAGTGGCTAGAAAATACATGTTTCCTTTTGGTTAGGGATTCATTTTATATCAAGAAAAAAGATTGGTTTAAAAATTTTGAAACTTTTTGGGGCTTTCTTCTCAAGTCATTCATGTGAACCTGAAACAGACGGAGGACTCATGGGAATATATGAAGGATTTACGTTTATATAAAAACCCCTCCTTGCAATTTTCTCCAACATTCTGTCCTGAAAGATGTGTCTTCCGGGTCCTGGAATCTCTCAAGCCCGTGCGGGCGTTGAGGGAGATGCCCTGGGCGCGGCGCTCAGCTCCTTCCTAGCCCTGTTTGCAGGCAAGCCTGTCTGGAGGCAAACCTAAGCCTTGTGGCTGGTGGCGACTTCCGTTCCTCAGGCTCTTCCTGGGGCGGCTGCTGCACGTGCAGTCAAGGGGCTGGTGTGCCAGTGCCTTCTGAGCAATTCCAGTCGCGTGGGCACAATTTACCTACTGTGAACATAAGTTAGGAAGTGCGCAGTAGCAGTTTCAAAGGAAAATATTGATCACTTAAGGTCATAAATGAGATACAATTTAAAATCATAAACCAGACATAAAGAACTTTTAAAGGGTGAAAAAATAGCTTATAACTATTATTAATCATTGACTCTTTTTCAAGAGCATACTGACAACTTCCTACCAAATTATATTATTGCACAGATTTGGAAAGTGTCCAGAGGTTGGGTGCAGATCTGTGTAAAGACTGTGTGGCTGCAGGTCCCACAATTTTGGAGACACTGAGGGTGCCCTCTCCTCTGGGTGCATGAGCCCCCTGGGGTGGTGTGCCATTTGCTTTCATCATTCCTTCCCTCCGCTTCTTACTTCTTGCAGCCCCGATTCATCTTGAAAGCAAATTATCTGAGCAAACATCAAACAAGGAAGCAAGCAAGCAAACAAAGCAACAATTCAACTGAAAACCTGGTGACATCTAGAAAAACTCGTTTAGCTTGCTCCCTCCCCTTCCTCCCTTTCGAGTAGATGCTTGAGGAGAAGAATGCAGGATGAAGTTTGGTTTTGCTCCAGATTTTGGAACGGCTACTCAGGTAGAACTTACATCACTTCGAGAAGATATAAATGTGTAGGAGAGAACTGGAGTGAATGTTCTGTCTTTAACACAATAGCAGGGAAGCTGAGGACAGATGGTGGGTGTGCCTTGTGGTCGGGGGAGCTGTCCGCGGCCATGCTGGTAAGGGAGGACACACTTTTTTTTTATTTTAATAAGGAGGGCGTTAATCTCTTTGCCGCCCTTTGGTGTCCTTGCTTGGCTTTACTGACTTGGTTCTGAAAATAACTATAGACGTCTGAAAAGAACCTGGGGAGTGATGTGAGCGCACCGCTGAGAAGCAGAGGTGGGCTTTGACCAGAGGAGGGGTCCGGAAGCACTGGGGCGAGGCAGAAGCCGTGCCTCCCAGCTCACGCGGGAAGTCCAAAGCCCCAGCCCTTCCCCATTCCAGGGGAAGAGCACACCTCGGTTTGGGGTTTTACTGTTCGTTTTCATCCTGTTCCTGTTCATTTAGGGGAAGCAAGCGATTTGAATTCCACTTCTTGCCAAAAACAAAGTACAACAGAATAACAATAGCAAAACAAAATGAGTAAAAATCTATAGCGAGCTGCTGGGTGCGAAGGAACAACAGAATCCAAGGTGGCACCGCAGTGTCGCCCCCTCGGCGAGCCCGCGGCCTCCCCGGAAAGTGGGCCTGTGCTCCTCAAGGCCGAGACTCCGTCCTGAAGCCCACTCTGCAGACCTCCAGACAGAAGCTGGATGTGCTTGTCCACCTGAGCCGTCCCGTGAGAAGGGACACCACGTCCTCCTAAACGTGTTTAGTTCCCGTGTGATTCTCAGACACCCAGCTAGAGAGCCCTCAGAGGTGGCAGGGCAGTTACACACACACGCTGAGGCTCCTGGTCCTCAAACACCCACAGCAAGCCTGGAGCGCCACTGCGAAGCGGCCCTGCCCTGCACGCTGCACCTCGCGGGGTCTGCCCTGCACCTGCCTGGGGAAGCGACGGTCAGCACCGAGCTCTGCCGCACGGGGAGCCCAGGGGCCTCTGGCTAAGGCTCGCCTCCGATCGGGGTTTGGTGAGAGCGAGGCCTGACTTGCCCCTGGAGGTGTGTGCACACACTGAGAGGAGAGCCCGCCGACGTCACAGCAGGGAAAAGAGGCTCTGACTGCTGGGCGTTTGCGCAGCAGTCGATTTTCAAACCACAATCCTGACCCTCATGATCAGGAAACAGTATTCGTGGAGCAATGTGCAGAACAGGAGGTCCTTTTGGTACTAATTTGGAAAGATTTAAGAACCACCAACTTCTTGCTTCTCACTTCACTCTGGAACACCCACATTGCCAAGGTCCCGCCCGAGGTTGAATCACATTCCACCTCCTGCTGAGCGGGGACACATGACTGACCCTGGAAACACGAAGCAGCCGCTCAGGCTGGAAACACACATGCCTGCCGTGTCTGGATGCGGCTAAACCCACAGACGCGTGCAGACCTGTGCCGCGTCCCCTGCCGGGGAAGACCTGGGTGCAGCTACCACGGCGGGCGGCTCTGAGGGTCTGACCATAAAGCAAGCACCGTGGCTGTTTCCACCACGGACGGATCGGGGGTGAGAACTAAGGAGACGGCCGCCGTGCTCGGCCCGGGCCGCCTTGCGGGCGCCGCAGGGCCGCGCG